TGCACGCCACTGAGAACAGTGTAGTTTTACCGAGCAAACAGCAGAAACGGCGAGAAAGACCGTGGCAGCTGCCACGACCGCTGGCAGCTGCCAGTGGCAGCTGGGGATGCCACCGGAAGTGGCGCTGCGACCTGCCGCTGCCAGAGAGAGCGCCAGTCCCTGCTGACTAAATGTCGTTTGTTCTTTTCGCGCGTGCTGCACTGAGTCTGGCTCTTATTTGTACAATTATTATTATTTTTTTATTATTTTGTTCTGTCAAAAACGAACCTTACAACTTTACAACTTCATATTGCATCATTTGTATTGTAATTATATTTTATTAGTAAAGACATGCACCTCCCGTGAACTTTCATTGGATGATAACACACGTGATTTGGGTTCTGGACAAAATAATTGGCCAGGATGGCTCATGAACAATTCATAAGGAGAAGAAAAACACGACTCATTTTTTTCCCACTGGATTATGCACTTATTGTAATGTACAAGAGACAGTGAAGCATATACTGTTAGACTGCAAAAAATATGAAGAAGATAGGGCAGAATTAAAGGCACAAATGGATGAACAAAGCATGACACTTGAGCATTTATTAGGGAAAGCATCTGGGAGAATACACAATTTATTAATGTTATTTTTGAAAAACACTGGGTTAAGTGAAAGAATTTAATAGGGTTTTTTTTTCTTTTTTCTTCCCTCTCCACTCCTTTGATGTCAGTCTAATGCCCACACTCCAGTCTAGTAGGTGGCGGTAATGCACCTTTGAGATGAGTTGCCGACCGCCATTAAACCTGAAAGAAGAAGAAGAAGAATCATTTTTTTTAACAATTGTAAACTTAAACACTTACACTTAACTAATAATGGATTGTCAGATTTTAGTGTACTTTATTAGCAGTTTATCATGTTGTTGTGAAACCGGTCATATGTAGCGATACTTGTTTATCTCTTCTCGACGCAGCAGGGTAACGTTATCCTAGTGGGGAGCGGCGTTGCAGTCTGAATGTATTTGTGCTGTATCAGCTTACAGTTGTTCCCCCCCAAATCCGCATCGTTTTAAAGTTGTTTTAGTTTGATTTTAAAAACTGCTGCCCTAGAGATGGCATCGGCAACGACGACTGATCCGGGTTTTAATCCCGGAGCTATAGGGTTACCAGAGTCTGTAGTCCCCGCTAGCATGTTTGCTCCAGCCCGGGGATGCGGCGATGATGACGGGGCAGAGTGCTTCGAGGACGGGGAGATGTTCAACGGTGAGACCGTGGATCTCGGCATAGACTTCTCCAGCAAGGTAGGCCTCAAACAGAGTTAGCCTAGTTGTAGTAAATTAATGCGTTTACAAAAATTATATTATTAGTAACATGACTACACGTTGGGATTTTGAACTGACAGTTTTAATAAGGTTATCTGATTTTCATTACTGTTTGAGATTTTCACAGTTTTACCAGTTTACCACTGAGTGTTTACCCGGATATGTTCAGCGATATTTTAAACATATTTCCTAACCTCTGTATCATATGCACCTGTCGTAGTACAGTATTAAAATGTCTTTCTGATTTATCCATCTATGTGGGGTTTTATCTGTAAAGCAAGCTGATTATAGACTGCAACTCTGCATTAATTCCAATGAATGAAATACGGACATTATACGGACGGTTAGTGAAGATATGACAACCTCACAACACAATATCAGCCCAACACAGAGGGATTTCCCTTTAGAAGGAGGGAGACAGAGGAGATAAATAGATCAGGGAATGAGGAAGTCCATTTTATAAATTGATAACTTTTGATAACTGACATAAAATATCATATATATCAGATAGTTGCCAAGGCATCATTTCTCATTTTCATTTGGTTTAACTTGATGTACTAAAATATCTAAAGCTAAAACTGAAAAAAAAAAAAAAAAAATTGGACATTAAAAACTAATAAAAGACCAGTACAACTGACAAAATCATACAACAAAATGACTAAAAATGTTACTAAAATGGAAAATATAAAAATTTAAATTACCTCAAAATACAAATTAAATTATAATAGTATCGCTTTGTTAGAAGTAGAAGCTACTTATTATATACAAGTAACTACTACATAATTACAGGTTATAAACGACAAATTTAGGTTCTGTAAATTTGCCTTCACATATACACCATTTATTCCAAATAGTATGAATTTGATTGTTTTTGGAACCTATTTCAGTTTTACTAATATCTAGTTCTGGTTCATTTTCTTAGTTACAAGCAACTATTAAAATAGTTCAAAGCATTTATTACAGTTTCCCTTGTTTTAGACACTAGTGTGCATTCCAGTTGATACTAGAAGAAGTTTTAATCTTTCTAGTAATTGAACTCTGATGTCTCAGCCTGAACTCTTCTGACTATGATGTGTTACCATACAATATAGTTGTATGTATGTGTTTGTGTGTATTAAAAATTATAGGCATGGTTACTAATTGCTAAGAAATAAGTACTAATACCTAATGCCTAATAGGTAATACAGAAGTACAAATATTCCATGTAGTCTTTCAATTATTATGAGGTACTATAAGTACATGCGTTATAATTAAAACAAGAATTACAATTTTTTTTTGTCTTAAATAGAAGACACGTCAGCTATTCATAAAGCAGTTTAGGTCTACATAGTCACCAGTGCTCAACCTTGATGGATGTGGGAACCAGGGCAGATGACTGATCATGTTTTCTGCTGTGGCAGCTGCCTTCTTATCATTCATCAGACAGTTTCAGACTGAGGAGTGGATCTGTTTTTCTATGGCTGGAGCTGAGCACTGTTTTTGCTGAAGGGTGTTTTGCATGAAGCTTAATCGCTTTGGCTTGTGTAACATTACTCCACATAACAACTGATGTAACATGCAGTAAAGTCAGGCAACTCAGAGTCCATTGATGACTTTGTACTTTATTTACACTGGTGTTGAGTCAGACTGAGCTAACAAAACAAATGGAAGGAATGTTGTTCCACAGTCATTCTGTGTTTAATAGCATTCTTTTCTGTTGTGTATCATAGCTAGCCCTGGTCAGTCCCAATGGGGAACAGTATGACTTATTACTACGGCAACTGCGTGAGAGGATGGACGAGGGCTGCGGGGAGACCATCTATGTGTTGGGGGTGGGTTCAGGTGAGAAACTGAGATGAGAGCAGTGAGACTCAATTTAGGTTTATTTTTTTTATAAGTACCCACCAGCTTGTCTCTTTCACTCTTTCAGATGGAGGAGACTATGGTTTGAATGAGAGTGATATGCAGGCGTCTGTGGCCACAGTAAGGTCCATGTGTGAGCAGATCGAGGCAGACCTCATCCTGTTGAGAGAGCGTACTGAAGCTGGTGGCCAGGTCAGAGATTACCTTATTCGCCGTCGGGTGGGAGAAGCTGACTTCCTGGAGGTTAGGTGAGTGATGAGAAAATGGGCTTTTTCTGCAATTAAAGTCACAGTTCAGTTTAACCAAAAATAAACACTTGGTCTTTTTTTGTGGAACATAAAATTAGATGTTTAGGAGAATATCCAGACTGCTATTTTCCATACAATGAATGTTGACAATGCGAAAGAGCAAGAAAAGTGAATCCAAAAGAGCAAGAATGTACACAACCTTTCAAAAGTTAATGAAAACTTGTATTTAGGAAGGAGACATTAAATTGGTAGAACGTGACAATAAAAACATTTATAATGTTACTAAAGATTTCCATTTCAAATAAACATAGTTCTTTTGACTTATTATTCATCAAGGAATTTTATTTATCAAAAAAAAAAAAAAATTTATCATGGTTTTCACAATATTAAGCAGCACAACTGTTTTCAGCATTGATAGAAATGTTTCATAGTTCAAAGCATTTATTACAGTTTCCCTTGTTTTAGACACTAGTGTGCATTCCAGTTGATACTAGAAGAAGTTTTAATCTTTCTAGTAATTGAACTCTGATGTCTCAGCCTGAACTCTTCTGACTATGATGTGTTACCATACAATATAGTTGTATGTATGTGTTTGTGTGTATTAAAAATTATAGGCATGGTTACTAATTGCTAAGAAATAAGTACTAATACCTAATGCCTAATAGGTAATACAGAAGTACAAATATTCCATGTAGTCTTTCAATTATTATGAGGTACTATAAGTACATGCGTTATAATTAAAACAAGAATTACAATTTTTTTTTGTCTTAAATAGAAGACACGTCAGCTATTCATAAAGCAGTTTAGGTCTACATAGTCACCAGTGCTCAACCTTGATGGATGTGGGAACCAGGGCAGATGACTGATCATGTTTTCTGCTGTGGCAGCTGCCTTCTTATCATTCATCAGACAGTTTCAGACTGAGGAGTGGATCTGTTTTTCTATGGCTGGAGCTGAGCACTGTTTTTGCTGAAGGGTGTTTTGCATGAAGCTTAATCGCTTTGGCTTGTGTAACATTACTCCACATAACAACTGATGTAACATGCAGTAAAGTCAGGCAACTCAGAGTCCATTGATGACTTTGTACTTTATTTACACTGGTGTTGAGTCAGACTGAGCTAACAAAACAAATGGAAGGAATGTTGTTCCACAGTCATTCTGTGTTTAATAGCATTCTTTTCTGTTGTGTATCATAGCTAGCCCTGGTCAGTCCCAATGGGGAACAGTATGACTTATTACTACGGCAACTGCGTGAGAGGATGGACGAGGGCTGCGGGGAGACCATCTATGTGTTGGGGGTGGGTTCAGGTGAGAAACTGAGATGAGAGCAGTGAGACTCAATTTAGGTTTATTTTTTTTATAAGTACCCACCAGCTTGTCTCTTTCACTCTTTCAGATGGAGGAGACTATGGTTTGAATGAGAGTGATATGCAGGCGTCTGTGGCCACAGTAAGGTCCATGTGTGAGCAGATCGAGGCAGACCTCATCCTGTTGAGAGAGCGTACTGAAGCTGGTGGCCAGGTCAGAGATTACCTTATTCGCCGTCGGGTGGGAGAAGCTGACTTCCTGGAGGTTAGGTGAGTGATGAGAAAATGGGCTTTTTCTGCAATTAAAGTCACAGTTCAGTTTAACCAAAAATAAACACTTGGTCTTTTTTTGTGGAACATAAAATTAGATGTTTAGGAGAATATCCAGACTGCTATTTTCCATACAATGAATGTTGACAATGCGAAAGAGCAAGAAAAGTGAATCCAAAAGAGCAAGAATGTACACAACCTTTCAAAAGTTAATGAAAACTTGTATTTAGGAAGGAGACATTAAATTGGTAGAACGTGACAATAAAAACATTTATAATGTTACTAAAGATTTCCATTTCAAATAAACATAGTTCTTTTGACTTATTATTCATCAAGGAATTTTATTTATCAAAAAAAAAAAAAAATTTATCATGGTTTTCACAATATTAAGCAGCACAACTGTTTTCAGCATTGATAATAATGAGAAATGTTTCTTGAGCAGCAAATCAGCATTAAAATGAATTCTGAAGGATCATGTGACACTGAAGACTGGAGTAATGACTTCTTTGCCATGACAGGAATAAATTACATTTTGAGATGTATTCAAATAGGAAACATTTATTTTAAATTGTAAATAATATTTCACAATTTTACAGTTCAAATAAACAGATCAAATAAACACCGCATTGGTAAGCATAAGAGACATCTTTCAAAAACAAGTTAAAAACTCACCAACCCCAAACTTTTGAACATTAGTGTAGCATATCAAAAGATTCATATGAATCATGCTCTGTTGTATTAAAGGGGCATCTTTAATATGTTTTCCTAGTTCCAAGAAGCTTTTACCTTATTGATTGTAGGCTGGAATACACTACATGACTTTTAAAATCTGAACAGATTTTACAAACACTAGGCATCATACACTTACCGACTTTGTAAATAGTGACAAAGGAAAATCGTCCATCATACACTACACAACTGGGGATTACACACTACTAGAAGTTGTTCCAATCACAACAAACTCACACAGAAACGTGCACCTTGTTGCTAGGAGATGCATGACAAATGAAACCAACACGTGTTCTAAAATCGGTTGAAAATATCAAACATGTTTGATTTCCTCCGACTGGATGGAATCATAATCTGAAGCTAAAAAATCGGAGTCTGTGACCATCAAACACAACACGATTTTCTATGGAATCTGTCAACTCAAATCTGCAGACTGGCTCTGACTTTCGGGAACTAGCGTCAACTTCTTCAGACAGTAAATCGGCGGAAATTCTGGGCAAAAATCGTGTAGTGTATTCCAGGCTTAACTCAAAGTCATGATGGTGTTTTCCTCAGGGTGGCTGTAGTGGGGAATGTGGACGCCGGTAAGAGCACTCTGCTGGGTGTGCTGACTCATGGAGAGTTGGATAATGGACGTGGCTTTGCACGACAGAAGCTCTTCAGGCACAAGCATGAAATGGAGAGTGGCCGCACCAGCAGCGTGGGCAACGACATCCTGGGATTTGATCAAGAAGGCCAGGTAGTCAACAAACCTGACAGTCACGGAGGCAGCCTGGATTGGACCAAGATCTGTGAGAAGTCTTCTAAAGTCATTACCTTTATTGACCTTGCTGGCCATGAGAAGTACCTCAAGACAACTGTGTTTGGAATGACCGGCCATCTGCCTGATTTCTGCATGCTGATGGTAAGGAGGGGCAAAAAGCTCAGTTTCAAAACCCAGTGAGCTACCTTGATTTCTTCATAGGCAGCTTTGTTTCCTTCAATGGCAGCATCCTAACCAAATGAAACTTCATAAACGTTCTTCATGGGCAGCAAAACAGTCACTCACTTGCATTGCATAAATGGTATGAGTGAGACACATGAGAAATGACTAGACTGTCATTGAGTTTTGAGTTTTAGTAGTCTGACATTAGCATGTTATAACAAGCAATACTGGTCAAAATAGTGCATTTTAATTTATTTGACTTTAAAATCAAAAGTAAATCCCCCTCAGCTGTGTTGGCCATCCTAAATTTGAGCTAAAATGTGGCATCATTTTGTAAGGAATGGTTTGGACCAAACTTCATTTTGGGAGTACATTTAAGTGCGGCCAAAGTGGGCAGCTTACTAGGGTTTGCAACAGAATGGGTTAACGATCGTTGACATCTTTAAATTGACTCCATCTCTCTCTTGCACAGATTGGAAGTAATGCAGGAATTGTTGGCATGACCAAAGAGCACCTGGGTTTGGCATTAGCTCTCAATGTTCCCGTCTTTGTGGTGGTTACTAAGATTGACATGTGTCCAGCTAATATTCTTCAAGGTGACCCACGAGTCCACAAATAATGCCATTTGCATAATAGAAACTAAATGATGGAATATTGCACGTACTGCCATACTAATGAACACTGTCTTTTCAGAGACCTTGAAGCTCCTGCAGAAGATATTAAAGTCTCCAGGCTGCAGAAAGATCCCTGTCCTAGTCCAGAACAAAGATGATGTCATCGTCACGGCATCCAATTTCAGTTCTGAGAGGTGATGCCCCGCAATACACATTTTTGCTTATTGCTGAGTCTGACTTGTCGCTCCAATTATTCTCCAGACTCACATATATTTGTTTGTTTTGTAGAATATGTCCCATTTTCCAGATCTCTAACGTCACAGGGGAGAACATGGACCTGCTGAAGATGTTCCTGAACCTGCTCTCCTCCAGAAGCTCATTTAAAGACCATGAGCCTGCTGAGTTCCAGATAGATGACACCTATTCAGTACCTGTAAGCACGCTGTCTGTCTCCGTTTATATATTTATATGTCTCCCCTCTCTCATCAGTCCAATTATTTTTGGCCAGGGTGTAGGAACAGTAGTGTCTGGGACCACGCTACGAGGGCTGATCCGACTCAATGACACTTTGCTTCTTGGACCAGACCCTTTGGGTGCTTTCCTACCCATCACTGTCAAATCCATTCACCGCAAGAGGATGCCTGTAAAAGAGGTCCGGGGTGGACAGACGGCCTCTTTTGCTCTGAAAAAGGTATGTGGTGTGGGTTCCAAATTAAATGGAATTAAATATTGAGGAGCCAAATTATTTTAGTTGACAAATTACAGAATTGCTCAAAGATGGTTTTTCAGAAGTTCCCAGTTGACGTTGTCTCTTTAGTGGTCCTGAGTATATTTGTGATATATATATATATATAACTGTTTTGTAAGAATCTTTCTCCCTGTTTGGAAACAAATACTGTTTAAATTACAATTGGACCTCACTGCTAAATGTACTGAATATGTATTATTAATTACAGCTAACAGTTCCTGATTAATTTTAAATGGGACATGATTGAATAATCAGTTCAGTAATGCGGAGTTCACACTGCACGATTTTAGCCCGATTTTTCACTCGCCGACAGATTTTGCGAAATTGCCGACAAATGCCCGAAATCGGAGGCAAATCGGTGCTCGTTCACGCGAGTGACAATCACGCAGTGTGAATTATCAAAGACGCGATCTGAGGGGAATCGCTGACACGTCGCCGACGCCCACAAAATATTTGGCATGCTAAATATCTGGAGCGGTCGGCGATTCACAATCACGCTGTGTGCAATGATTTCTGACTGAAAACTACATCGGCGATGACCTACAG